TAAATTAAAGTTAATTAGATTTATTAGTATAACTAAAATACATTATTATTATTATTATTATTATTATTATTATTATTTTTTTTGCTATACAATATTTAGTTAAAAAATCATGAATATTTCCTCTATTAGCGTTTTAGTATACATCTCATATTGACCAGTCCGTATGCTTCACTTTCACTACCCTTCAGTCTACATTGCATGAGATTTTTGAACTTTATAAAATTATAATTTAGAATTAAATAATTTGTCTTATCTCAGTTAAAAGCTGGAGGAACTTGCTTGAGAACCAGTCAATGTTTTAAGAGCAACTTTACACGAAATTGTACATAACCCAAACTATTATCACCTTCGACATTCGTTTACCATTTAACCTTATTGATGAATACTGTACTAAACCCTCCTTTATCAATAGTTTCCCAGTCTACTATTCAATCACTTTTTCAAATGCCGTAGCTTTAAGCTGAAATTCCCTATCAATTATATATTAACTGGTTTCTATATTTTCTATATATTCTATTCTTCTTCGCATATGGATTTTAAGCTTATACAGTAATAGTGTTAATTAACTAAGGATCTTATAATTTCAGCAATAAGTTAGTTATAAATAATTTCTTACTTTGTTTATAAGGTCCCAAGTATTTGTTTTAAAGCAGTGTAATTTCACGAATTCAATGCATGCTATATTGCGTGACTGCGTATATCCTCCGGATTCGCAAAGCATTCATTTTTGATATTCCTATGCCTACTTTTTTGATACATTTAAATGTACCCTAAATTTCTCATACTTTTTTGACAGCAAAATATATAATTGAAAAATCATTGTTAATATCAAGTAATCTGGCATAATAATTTTTTTTTCAAATTTATACAATTTTGTTAAAAAAATCGTTAAACAGTTCTTTGAAATGTAAATGATATCATATATGTTCAAGTATAAATTTAGGTTTAATCATTGACTTATTCAGACCGGGAACCACCTGAACAGGTTCAAAAAGGTTATGGTATTATTCACAAAAGATAAACTGCGGTCTTTGCTGGATCGTCTATCGTTATCGTAGACTGCCGTATACAAGACCATTCATAATCAATGCTGGTTGGGACTTGGACCAACTTTGTTCCACGGACATATAAACTGGAACATTTGACTTATAGATTTCAATTGGAACGTATAAGTACTTGTTATTGGTCATGTTGTGGACGATAACTGATTATTCACTAGGATACTGTTTTTATGACGTGGCCG